GATTATTATTGTTATTACTATCATTATTATTATTATTAAACAGTTTATATGAATCAATTCTAAAAAGAGATTAAAACTTTCATTTCAACTATAATCCCGAGGTGAATTTCGGACAGATTTCTGAAAGTCAAGGAGCTAGATTACCTTAAGTTAACTTACATTTATTTACTCTGGTAAACCTTTTAAGGAATGAAAATGTTAACTAAAATAAAATAAGCAAGACTTAAACAAAGTAATAAAAGGTATAATAAGACAAGTAGTCATGTCTGAACAGTTCTGGATAAAACTCATTGTGCAACTATTCAATCATGAACTAGACAAAAGCCCCCAAAACATTGTTGCCCGATAACTCCCCTCTGGTACTCAGTGACAAATGACTGATACCTTGCTTACAGAAATACTTTCTGGGTGATAAAGTAAAAAAGCAGCGCACACATCTTCCAGAAAGGAAACCTCAAGAGCCAGACCTACAGTGTGACTAGATTCTGACTGAGACCAGGTCCAAAGCTAAGTTTGTGGAAATGATGCCTTGCTTTTATTTTGTGCCCTTTGGCTTTACTGCTGTGTGGATATGCCCTGTTGTACATCTGCTATTGCAGCAATTCTGATATTTTAGGAGTCTCTTCTGCTGCATTGCAGTGCTTCCTGTAAACTCCAAGGCCTGCCTTCACTCCAGGGTATGAGGGCATGGGCTCTTCTCTCCTGAATCCCAAGGTATTTTGATTTGCTGCTATCATATGATGCCTCATTTTGTTTTATGGCATTTTCCTGTCAGAAAATGATTGATTGTAGTCTCAGGGCATTGGAGATGCCACTTCAGATCTGAAGAGATTGCTTCAAAATAATCAATAACCCCTCCCCAAATAAATACTTTATATAATCTTGACATTTCTTTCTCTCCTAGATATTGTTTCCTAGATCCTCATGTGTAAGAGGCTGCTGATAATTTAAATATTTATTGAATTCCTTATTTATTTCCAAAAGGTAGCAAATGTAGTTTTCATTGTCCACTGCCCCATAATGCATTATCTACAGGTGATAATAAATACATTATTTTTAATGGCGATTACTTTAAAATTTATTTTCCTTTGTTATCTCTATGTATCAGATTTGATATATTGATTATATATCCCATAATCATCATCCATAAGTATTTCTTTAGTATCCACTGTCTCTGTGTTATACAAATTGCGGGAAAAGGATAATAAATATGGGTACTTCATAGGGTGTATATGATACACATTATTACCAAATGGTGCCTACATACATGGTGAGGGAAAGACTGAGCTTAATACAAAAGGAAAGATTTTTTTTTTGCTTTAACTCTGATATATTCCAAAAGGCTCAATAACTTTTCTTTTAAATTGGATGAGAAAAATTTGTTGTTGTTGTTTTTAATTTTGTGGGGTGTGGGTTCATTGCTATGATTCCAATGGTGAAAACTCCCAGAACTGATGCTCTTTCCAATGATACAAACAGTAACTCATCTGTAACTTATAGCTGTAGAGATTTGTTTAGGGGAATTGAGAAGGTAAGAGGCTTCCCTATGATGACACAGTATAATGCTAGTGGTAGGTTTTACTGACTGCGAGGCCAACTTGCTCACTCTAAATGGCAGTTATGGAGAATAAATTTATTGTACAGTGTTTATACACATTTTCATAAATATTTGGTGAGAAAACCATTTCTTTGCAAAATAGAATTTTTTTTTCATTGAAGGAACTCTTCAAATGGCACAACCTTACATTAGTTTCAGTAATGAATTTGTTTATCTTCACAATAAGCCTTTGTATCTGTGGTAATTGTTGCCTTGTAGTATAACTAAAGCTATGTAGTCATAAGGACTTCCTAGATTAATACAGTGAATCAGTATTAGAATTAGCATTCTTCTGTTTCTATTATCTGTTCCACCTTGAAACCTGTCACCATCCTTCATTAAATTTAAGATGACTTCTTTTCATTCACCTGCTTTTTTTTGTCACCACTATTTCTAACAATCCTATGACTCCTTAATAAAATAACATCCTGACTTAGAAAGTGATTGTATATTAACATATGTAGGCAGCAAATGGAACTCAAATGGTATTTTCTAGTGGGGAAAAATGAAGCAACAATCCTAATAACATTATTTATTTTAGTAGTACCATCTATTATGAACCCGGAGTCAATCCAAGTCTCTGATCTATACTGTCTCTCATCAAGTCAGCAGACCTCAGTTAATCAAGTACTTTTTTAGTTTCTACTGGGTTCCAGATAACCATGTGAGGTACTTTGGAGACTGAGACAAAAAAATGAAAGAGTGCCTGCCCTCAAAGAGCTTAAATTCATTAAGTACAATTCTCTAATCCATAGACCAACACTCTAATGGTTCCTGGTAATGCAGAGGATATTAGGTAGATGGTGGTGTTGATAAAGTTTCATTTTCCAAACTAGCTTTGTCACGGAACACTTTTGACCTTGACATGTATTGAAGAAACCTATGAATGCTGATTCAATGAAGATTTTGGGGAGGAGTTGGTCTGATGTTATAGAATGCCTCCAAGATAAATGGAAGTTAGAGAAATTTTGAAGCAAGATACATATAATAAAAACTATATTCATACTCAAAAATTGCTATACATAAAATCTTTTACACATTAGCTATTTTAGAAGGGAAGTATTAATATAAGAATATTCTTATAGAACCCCTATTCATATCATATGGTATACCAAGGTCCCTGGAAGTGTACTTTGGGAAACATTGAAGTTAATGTTTTTATTACTTACCTATTTGGGCATGTGTTCTTTTTTTTTTTTAATAAATCTTTACTGATATTTTCTATTCTTACATCATCATAGTTATTTCAATCATCCCTTCCCCACCCTCTCCCAGACAGCCATCCTATGTGACAAATAGTAATTTTTAGAGAAGAGAGAAAATAATGAGCATACACCTGATATCCTTTAGTTCTTTTTACTGTAAAGCAAAAGCTTATATGAATCAATAAAAATGAACCTTGTCATTTATTATAGCATATCAGATGTCTGACATTGAGTCTACAGGATAAAATGGAAAAGATGCCAGAGTTTTTCAGATCATATTCAGAATTTAGAGTTAATAACACCAAACTGACTTGCCCATGGCCACACAGCTAGTATATGTTAAGGGTATGTCTTGCTGACAGATTTAGTCACACAAAGCCCTACTGCTGAATAAAGATGAAAATACACATTATAATTCTTGTCAGTATTTAAGAAGTGCTTGTCTGATGTTCCCAAACAATTAGTTTTTAGTGTTCATGTCACTTTAAGAAGCACATATTTGGTTTCTATCCTCAAATGTAAATTGTCCAACATTGATGAAACTCAACATCAGAATGTGTCCACCACCTTGATATAAAGACGGAATTAAAAAAAAGTGGCTTTTCTTTGATGCTCCAAAACCAGTTTTTGAAATTTGAGAATGTTTTCCTTAAAATCATGGAATTTCTTTTACTTGGAAGACTTAATGTTTCTTTAGCAGGTAGAAGGAACCATATATATGTTTTTTCAGATTCTCTATCTTCTAGGAATTTCCTATTTTGAGGGGCCTAAGGAAAACTGGTGTTCAAGAAATAAGAAAAGCAGCACATAAATCCTTGATTCTGTGATGATTTAAGAAATTTAAGAGTATTTGTAGATGCCACCAATTCATGGGGTGTCATAGTTGCTGACTGATTGGACCTTGTTATTCAGTATCTCTTATTGGTGTTGTTTATCAGGCATTTATACTGGGTTTGAATCATGATGCCTTCCAAAGCAATCTTCTACTTCCTCCTATGGCTGGTGTGCAGTCCATAATTGCATGACCTATGTGATTTATTTGTCTGTTTTCTACAGCTTTTGTTTTGATGTCAGAAATTGTTAATCCTTCAAAGTTCCACAGTTCTAATGTTGACTGCCAACAGCATTAATTTGCAATTGGCATGAAGGTGTACTTCATCCATCCATATCTCTATAATAATTGTTACATATTGAGTGATGTCTGTTGCCACTGAAATCCATTGATACAGGGACTGGATTGCCTTTAATTATTCTCTCACCATTATATCATTCTCCACCTTCAGTGATGTGCAATATAATATGCACCTTTGAAATTATCTCATTGTGTCTGTCACCAAAATATTTTCAATGGAGTTTGTTTGAGGGCTCTTGGATTCCCTTCTCCAGAGCTAATTGTAATTCACAGAAGGGCTTGAATTTATTCAGTTAATGTCTATATACATATATATATATATACACATATATATACACTAAATATTTTTTCTTTTTTAATAGCTTGTTGTACCTCTTTGAACTTTCCAGTTTATATGTGCTTTTAACTGTGTTATTCACCAATAGGTTTTAAAGAATGACCTTATGTGTTTTCAGGAGTCAGTGTATTAAAGAATATGTTGAGGGTAATTATAAAACATATAATTTCATCTGTAGGTTCTCATAATGACTACTAATGTCATAGAAGTTTCTTTATGAAATTATAGGCCTCCAACACCCTAAGAGGTCCGTTCTTTTTAGTATAATTAATAGGCCTAAACTGTGGTGATGATCTTGATACTGCAAAACATCATGTAAACTTTTTTATTTTTTTTTTAAGTTCAGGAAGTTAGTCTTTCATCTGGGAAGAAAATGATTAGGAGACTGGAAGATGGTCAACTGGGGTGTTATCAGTTAAGACACCTGGATGATTCATTAGTGAGGCTTCTTGTAAGAGGTTATATAGGCTAAGAGAAATGAACAACCATTGATCCCCATATGTAGGCATCATATTCTTCCCTATATGATATTAATGGAAAAAAGTCAAGAAACATCTGGAGATTTATTTTTTCCACAGCTTTCTGAGAATTTTGAAAATAGCCAGCCTTCATGCTTCGTTTGGGAGAGATTAAGTCCTTTCAAGAGAAAGCGAAATCAATCAGTTGTAGAGGAGAAAAGAAAAGCACTGGATATAACTAATGATTGATTGGGGTTGGCTGTTCTTGCAGGGAATGATGTACTTGGAAGAGAGGCGCCTTGTTCATCGAGACCTGGCAGCTCGTAATGTCTTGGTGAAGTCACCAAACCATGTGAAGATCACTGACTTTGGTCTGGCCAGACTCTTAGAAGGGGATGAGAAGGAATATAATGCTGATGGAGGGAAGGTGAGTATTGCTGTTTAGAAGCAAGACTAGTAAATATGAAGTGTTTGACTATCTCTCATTTGTGTGTTTGTCTTAGTAACAAAATAAAAATCAATTCTCTGTGATCCTCTCTTGACTCTAGAGGCTTTGTTCTCCTGCCCTCTACCCTATTTAGCTTTTTTTTTTTAAATATTGTCTTTCCCCTTTAGATTGCAAGCTGCTTGAAGGCAAGGACTGTCTTGCTTTTGGTTTCTATTTATATCCCAGAAACTGAGCACATGCGTGGCACCCAGTAAGTGCTCGATAAGTACTTGTTGCCTTGTGGGTAAAATTTTGAATTGGAAAGCAGCTTAGCAATCCCTTCTCCAACCTTCTCATTTTATATATGGGTACACTGAGATCCAGAGAGAAGGAAAATCATATCTAAGAACACGTAAGTGGAAAGAACGAGAACTTACATTAAACTTCGGTTTTCTGACTCTAAATTCAAGGCTCTTTTCCCTGCACCAGACTAAATTTATTTTTAAAAAGCTTGTAAACATATCCAGGAGTTTTACGGAAAACCATTTATATATCCAACATATGCTATATGTATATATACTCTGTACTTCTGAAATTCAAGCTTTCCCAGGAATCTTCTTGTTCAACTAGCAGGCTGTAAAATTTTAGCAAGTGATTTTTTTTTCCATTAAAACTTCCTATAAATGTCTTTATAAATGCAAGACCCTTTAAAAGGTCAAATTAATACAGTGTTCATAAACAATGTCAATCTTACAACAGTTTTACTTTTACCCTCATCTGTTCTAGGCTAATGAGAATTAGCATAAAATAAATTGAGTATTTATAGTTTGGATTTCAAGAGCTTGATACTTGGGAATGTTAAGGCTTAAGATCACATAGCAAGATTGCACAGAAGGCCCCAGAAGTGCTTAAATCATATATCTTTAATGTTCTTGAGTATATACAGCTGTAAAGTTTGTCTAAAGTAAGATTCATTACAGCTTTAAATACCTAGGAATCATTAAGTCTTTATCAAGCCACTGGCGATTTAAACTTGCTTCTTCAACTGAGTATCCTCTAGTCCATAAAGTATGCTAAATTCTTGCCTTTGGGGAAATTACCTTCCACATGGGTGCTGTTCCCTTTCCTTGAATGCTATGATTCTGTCAGAGAGTTACCTTGATGTCACCTTGGTGGGCAGCCAACCACTTATGATTTTAAAGTCCTGTTTCATTTTTAACTTCCAACTGCATAGTACAAGTGTTTATTTTTGTTCTAGTGAATTTAATTATATTTGTTCTATAATTTTTCTGATCATACATAGAGATGATACTTCTGACCCCCAGCAGGAAGGTATATATTCTGACACTTTTTTCCAACAGTGGTGCTGACTTTGTGCTAGATATTCCATCCATTTACTCTTGTCCAGCTCCCCTTCTAAACAGTACACATTTTCCAAGATGGTTAATTAGGATAAGGGGTAAAGAGAAGGCCACTGCTCTCTAATTTGAATTGGAGAAGAGATTGGAAAATGATCTAGCACAGCCAGACCTGTTGGCAAGATAAAAAGTTTAGAAGCTATTAGGATCTCCAGAAGTCTCCTGTAGGTAGCAATAGACAAAGTTTGATCAACTTTGCAAGCATAAAAAAGAATATTTGGATTCAGTGTTGTGAGTTTACCATATTGGATTGATGATATTAGCCTGAGATTATATTAACTGGTGCCTAGTATATTTGACTTTGTGTTTCTTATAAAGCATAGGCTTTGTATCCTCCTGGAGGATATTACATTATATTTTATGAACCACCCTTCATCTGTGCACTTGTTTTCTACCCTAGAAAATAAATAGAGCTATGTAGATGGGAGTAGGTATGGACAAGTTAAAATAATCAGATTTGGAGAATGAAAACAAGATTGGCTTTTTATGTAATTATAAAACTCTCATTTCCTTGTTATTTTTTTTAGATGCCAATTAAATGGATGGCCCTGGAGTGTATCCACTATAGGAAATTCACTCATCAGAGTGACGTTTGGAGCTATGGTTAGTAAATTTCTGATTGTGAATTAATGCTTTGGTGTTTTCAGCTTTTCCAAAGCCAAGTCATTTTATTGTGCTAGTGGTACATATTCATTAAACCCCTTTTCCTAAAGGAGTTAAGTGTTTTCTCTTCCTTACATTTTTTAAAAAATAAATCTAAATGGTATCTTTACCTGTCTTCTGTGTTATTTCCCTTCTCACTAAAATGTAATATCGCAGCCTCCCTGCTGGGCTGTCTGCCGTTAGCTCTAGTCTGGTAGCACTTTGGCTGATCATTGTGACTGAGAAGAAAAAAGAAGCCTCTTTTAGTTTAGGCACAGATTCATGGAATCATATGGCTCAAGGCCATAATTTTCAACAACTCTTTGAAAATCTAACTCTAAAAGCAATGAATGTCAAAAAATATTTTCTAGCTTATGGAAGTTTCTGTATTACAGTCAGATAAAAGGGAATTTGTCATACCAGAGCAAACATGGAAGAGAATGGGGGAGAACACTGAATAAGGAGGGAGTTAGAAAGTGAGAGAGAGAGAGATTACTAGCTACAGATTTGGTTTTAATTTCACAAATAACTTTGGGAGCAATCAGAAAGGTCAGATGATGTGTAATCGGAACTGAAGCTGAGTGCATTTTTAAAAACGGGACATTTATTTAATTGTTCTTAACTATGTCAGCATGAGCTGCTTAGCAAACTGAGAGTGTTTGCCACTTAAGTCATTCCAGGTGTGAGCAAGTATAGGGCTCCATCTTCCCTAGTGAAATCATGCTACCCAACACTAACAGTTTACCATCAACAATACTAAGCATGCCATCCACTCTACATTAGAGCATGTGGTTGAAAGCCATATCCATCTGACTATTGTTTTGGCTCGATATCTCATGTAACCCTAACCCTTTGGGGACTACTGAAAATGACTATTGATAAGTAAACTAATTTGTCTTCGTTACCCAGACAAGGAGTGGGGATGTGTTAATGATATTGCTTTAAAACAGCTTTCTTTGATACGTATAAGCCATTAAAATTCTATAATCTTCATGCCCCTCAAATCTTGCCATCTCAGTTTGAAAATACAAACTTCTCTTCATGTGTAATTTTGAAGAGTGCAGCAGGAAATGCTGACAAAATTTGTTTGCTATATGCTAGTGAGAAGAATGAGGGAGAAAACACGTCTATCATGTGTGTGTACATGTAGATCTATATATATGCTATATACATATATATATACACATATGTAATATTTTACCTGTCTCTCCCTGGATGTGAAGTGACAGCCTGCTAAATGTTATTATAAGGCTGCAGGCAAATTTTAAATGACCTTTAAAGTAAAAAAAAAAAAGACAAAATGTTGGGAGAGCAGTCACATTTTTAATATTAAAGTTTGTCTGTTGGGAGAAATTCTGTTACTTGTGCTACATTATTTATTTTCGTATTGAACTGCAAAATCCTGGGGGCTGAGACAGAGAGAGAGAGAGAGAGAGAGAGAGAGAGAGAAAGAAGTTTTTGTGTGCTGTTTTGAAACACAGCACAAACCATCAAACCAAATCCATAAAATGCTTTAAGAAATATCATCAGTGATTGCTGGAGACTTCCAAGACAGAGAAAGTTACATATAACCTTGTTCAGCAATGCACATTGTGGAAAATTGCTACTGGGAGCATCTTTATTTTTGTAAAAATAAATATGTATCTGCCATGATGTGTATGTATCCTTAAATGATAAAAAAAAAAGCAGGAGAGGTTTTATGCTTGTTTACAACTTATTCAGTACATGACTCCCCTTTTACGTGAAGCCTCCTGTGTTTAACCCCTTAGAGATATTATAGGAATTTATCATTGGACATAGATGGGACACTTCAAAAATGTTCTTGTTCAGGGCCCTTATTTTATAGAATATACAATTGAGGCCCAGAAAGGTTAGATGACTGGCAGAAAGCCATATTGGAAGCAAATAGCAACACTAAAACCAAACAAATAAAAAAAATAATAAAAACAAACAACAACCTCATTTAACCTTCTGACCCCATACTAGTCATTTCTTTTTCATTGTGCCATGGTAATTGGTAATTGTATTTTATGTTTTTGCTGGTTGTTTAGCATTGTGTTTGTTCAGATTCCCTATACTCTTTCCCTTACTGATGGCATCCACTCCAGTGGCTTCAATTATCACCTCAATATAGATGACTTGAAAGACTCTTTGGACTCTCCATTTTCTCCCTGAGCCCCAGTGCCATATTTATAATTTCTCCTTGGGTATTTCTACCTCAATATTCCACATACTTCAAACTTCGCATGCCTCAAACTGAATCTCTCATATGGCCACCCTTTCTACTTCCTTCTCTATTTCTGTTGATGGTACTATGACTCTTCCAGTGTCCCAGACTAAAAAATTTGAAGTCATTCTGAATCCCTTTTTTCCTTTTCATTACCTCCACAGAGGACCTCCCATCTGTCTCTTCCTTTCGATCCACACTGATGCCAGGGCCTTATTCTCTCTTACCTCTGTTATTGTAACACCCTCCTGCTTGGCCATCTTGCCTGTAGTCTCTCCTCTTTCCAATCCATCCTTCACCTTTCTCCCCAAGTAATTTTCCTAAAATACAATCCTGATTGCATCTTCCTCCTGTGCAAAGTGTTTCTGACTCCCCATTGCCTGATGGTAACTATTAACTCTGCACACTAAAATTTAAGAAGGATTTTTAGTGGAGTACCTATAATTTCTTAAAAATTTGGAGCTAGACGAGGCCATGGGAGGAAATGTCAAACTGTGCCATTCACACATACTGGTAAACCAAAGCACATAATTTCCTGTTAATAGGCAACCGCTATAACAAACGAAGGAGATCTCAGCTCAAACAAATAAATGATTCCTGTTGGTGATGGAACTGTAAATGTGGCTCTAATAAATAGATCCGCTAATAGATGTTCCATGTTAATAGACAAAGCACTCTTCCCCCACAACTACCATCTTAACCCATTTGGAAAAATATACATATATCTTATGAAAAGCACTTTTAAATATGTCCTTGTCTATATTGCAGATTAGCAGTTACATTTGTAGGGTGGAAGGTTTAAGAGTCATCTTATGTGCATAGTAGTGTATATGTTACAAGTTTAAGTTTGGTCTGTAATTAATGTCAAGATTAGTGGACTAATTTTAACATCAACTGTCTTCTAACATTCACTAGGTATCTACCTTTCCAGATGAAATCAAAATTCTAGTAATTTAAGGAAGTAAGTTTTTATTTGTTAGAGTTAGATTCATAATAAAGATAAAGATATTTTTATCTTCATTTACTAGTCATTTATTAAGCACCTACAATGTGCAAACCATAATGGGAGGAATTAAGGGAAATACAACAAAGATAACTAAAGTATCATCCCTACCTTCATATAAGTTATCCTATCAGGGGATATAGCACAGATATTACATTCCTGACTCAAAGCAATGATTTAATAAATGCTTGTTGGCTGATGGAAGAAAATATTAAATACTGTGTAATTATTACAAAGTAGTTATATAAGATCTATAGTTCAGAGTAGCATCTAACAGGAATGCAGAATGATATATATTATTGATGGAAGGAAAGATCATTTACAACTAGGGCAATCAGTGAAAGCTTCATAACAGAGGAGGCATTTCAGCTATCTAGAATTTTCTCCCTCTTCATCTCTGCTTCCTGACTTCCTTCAAGTTCCAGCTAAAATCCTGCCTTCTCCAAGAATCCTTTCCTGATCTTCCTTAACTCTAGTGCCTTCTTTTTGTTGATTATTCCCAATTTATCCTGTATATATCTTGTTTTTACATAGTTGTTTGCATGTTGTATTCCCCATTTGACTGTAAAGTGCTTTAAAGCAGAGACTGTGTTATATTTCTTTGTATCCCCACAGCTTCACACAATGCTTGGCACATGGTAAGCACTTAATAAATGTGTATTGACTGGCTGACTTACTGATTAGACTTATATCTCAATACTTAGCTTCCTTATTCACACTTGTTTTGTATTAACAATGTATCCATTGATATATTCCTTTATTAATCTATCAATGACACTTTACTCCCTTACCTGCCTGAAAATCAAGATAATAATTGCCCTTTTCCAATGCTGTACCTCCTATTCTCCACAGTCTTTTAAATAGCACAGACAGTAGTTCAGCAATCACATCTGCCAGTTCTTGTCAGACCTGAGTAGTAGTTCATCTGGGTCAGATGACTTAAATTTATTAAGGGCAGCTAGGTAGTCTCTTATGTTTGCCTTACTTACCATGGGTATCAACCCCCTGTTAGTGTTCCTTTTTCTGTCATGTTTAGTGTAAAGGTCATTCTCCTTTGCAGCATGAAGAGAAACAAATAAAAGTTGTACAGTTGTACCTTCCCCGAGTTATCACTTATCATCCCATCCATCACAAGCAAAGGTCCTATCTTTTCTTTGATCCTTCTTTTCCTAAAAATATAGCTTTAAAAAAGCAAAAACTTTTGTAGTCCTTGGCTTCTCTAACCAGGTTAAGCTCTGTCTGAGCTTTATCATTGCTTATACTACTTTTAAAGGAACATAACATTTTTATGTTCATCTCATCTACTGCTATTCTCTGAGTATATGTGTATTGTTACTGTTGTTGTTGAGTTCATAGGGCATCCATATTGGTGTAATTGGATAATTGGATAAATCCCATTTTTCCTTCCCATTGGAACTTTTTGTATTTTCAGATTTCATTTTTGAATATTTTTCATAATCCTCCTCAGCTAACTTCCCTAAAAGCATTTTTCTCTATGGGATCCTATCTACCTTGCATTTGAACCTTTTGAAATCTGCTTTCCCCAAATTAGACTGCACTATTCAAATATTGGCCCTGCCTTTTAGTAATTACATGGAAGTCATTCCATCTCTCTAAGACTCAATTTACTCATCAGCAAATGGAAATAATGATACCTATACTATCTTACTCTTACTGTGATGCTCAAATGAGACATTGTATTTGATAACTGTGTAAGCTTTAATGTGCTATATTAACATAACCTGTCATTTGCCTAGCCTATACTTTCCTTCTTACCAACAAATCTTTTCATTTCCTTCCATTCCTCCAAGTTTTAACCCCTACTCATAGTTCCTGATTTCCATCCTTGGCCTTTAGTGACATTTAGTGTATAATATGTCCATTCCAATGTAACTCTATAATATATGCCATTCTTCCACTAATGTTCTTCCTTAATGTCTCCTCATAGTGGGAAAAAGACTCTGAATTCTACAAGGATAGATAGATAGATAGATAGATTTATACATTGATACATAGATAGATATAGATATTTGTATATGTATGCATTTATGTATATCTATATACTTGTATAGATATATATGTGTATATATATATGTATATATGTATATGTATAGATAAAGAGATAGATGAATATCAAGAGTGTACAAATTTGGGCAAGTTCCACTAAATTACTCCCATAGACTTCACGTATGGTCTCAATAACAGACTGTATGAATGTTGTAAAAGGACCAACACAACTAAGTTTTGAAAAGCTCATCACCAAAGCATTGATAGCTAGACCATGAAATGCTTAGCCAAACAACTGATATAAAGCATTTATTAAGTCTGGATGGCGGTTTCACCGACTTTGAGTGGAAGCAGTACTTCAGTAAAGTCATAAGTCTTCCAATTAATGAAGTATAGACTTATATGTGTGTGTGTGTGTGTGTATGTGTGTGTGTGTGTAGATATATATATATATAATGTACATATATATGTACATTTTATATATATACATATATATGTACATTTTATATGTGTGTGTGTGTGTGTGTGTGTATATATGTATATGTATATGTACATTAGAAGTTGAGATGAAATCTAAACACATCCTCAGGATAAATAGCCAAAGATCAAGTCAGGACACGGAGGAGTAGTGTCCTGTTTTAGAATTGTCTCTCCTAATGGAAAGGTAACTCCATGGAGACTAAAACATTTTCCTTTTGGGGGAGAGAGGCCATGTAGTAGGATAAACTTCACAACAAAGAGAGCAAACCTCATTTAGATTGTCATCTTCTTGTCATGCTGTCTTTATATCACTAGCACCTTGTACAATACCCCACTGGAGGCACTTAGATGTTTGGTTAATGAATTAATAAATAAACCATTCATTAAGTGAATGAATGAAGGAATGAATAAGGGAGACCCCACTCCTACTTAGATATTTTGGCACTGAACTCCCATCCCACATAGAAGAGCCAAAATACTTGCCTACTTTCTTTTTATTTGTTGCGACTACATGTAAAAAGTCAGGTGTTCATTTAACATTTTAAAAAGAGGTATCTGTGGCTTATCATTTCAGTTCTTATCCTTTTGTGGTATTGGTTGTTGAAGATTATCTGGTGGATTTAACCCATCATTAGATTGGTCACAAGATGATGATGTTTTTGATCAGAACAACTACTAGAAATCACCTGTGAATTTGTAGAAGGTTTGGCAGGTCCCTGAATTCTTTGCTTTTGGAGACATGCCCCTTCCTACCTTTACATCCTTCTTATACTTCACTATTTCCATATAACATACAATGGAGATAGAGTGGTTTACTTGCTATTCTTCTCACATAGTATTCCATCTCTTATTTCCTGACTTTGCACTGACTAACCCCATGCTTACAATGTTTTCCCTCCTCACCAATGCCTTCTGATTTTTCTGATCCTATTCCCACCTTCCACAAAAAGTCTTTCCCAATCCCTCCAGATGCTAGTGCCTTCTCTTTTGAGATTACCTTCCATCTTCACTTCTTGAGTCTATCTATTTTCATGTTTCTCTCCCTTTGGAATCTAAACTTGAAGAGGACAGGGACTATAGGTAGCTTTCTTTGTATGCTAGTGCTTAGTACAGTGCCTAGTACACAGTAGTACTTACTAAATATTATTGACTAAATAACTCTTTTTGTATATATCCATATCCATATCTATATCTATCTATCTATTACCTTCCTTAATAGAATTTAGCTTCCTTGAGGGCAGAACCTTTCATTTCTGTCTTTGTACTATCTTTAGCATCTAACACAGTGCCTAGCACAGAGGAGGCACTTAATAAATGTGGATCAATTGATTGTGTAGATGATCTCATATTCCTTCCACTTTAAAGTGTATGGCCTTTAATCCATAGGATTTTCAACTTCATCATCACAAGACTTTTTACCATCTTTATGATCTCTCATTAGGGGTCTCATAATGAGACCTTTGGTCAGACTTCTCTAACCCTTCTTCCAATCCAAATCCTGTAACTTTCATTTCCCCCAGTCCCTAGCACACCTTCCAAAGCTAGTCTCCATGCTCATTAGTCACCAATTTAGTGAACTTAGATAAACCAATTTACAGAAATATCTATTCTTTACATCCTCTCTCTGAAAACTGAAAATAATATAATTCACCTAATCTGTTTCACAAAGACCTTGTGAGAATCAATGAAATGGTGCTTACATTAGCATTTTGAGCTCTTAAGAGAAAACATGATGGCAAATTCTGCTTTCACATTGAGTAAAATATTCTTAAATTGACCTGCTGTATTGTTGTTCGAATCAAAGTGATTTATGTTTGTTTAAGTAAAAAATCAATCTCTTTTATTTTAGGGGTCACCATTTGGGAGCTAATGACCTTTGGTGGAAAGCCCTATGATGGAATCCCAACAAGAGAAATACCAGATTTATTAGAGAAAGGGGAACGCTTGCCTCAGCCTCCTATCTGCACCATTGATGTTTATATGGTCATGGTCAAATGTAAGGTTGCTTAATTTTCTTAACATGGGTTCAATCTTTTTTAGTCAAGAAATGCATTAAAAATTCTTGCAATGATTATTTAGAATAATCCTATGCAAACAAAATATATAAATGTTATATTTGAAGAGTATGGATTTATCCATAAGGATCTGATTTAGCACTTTTTTCCCCTTATTATTAATTAGCAGTGGTACCATACTTCCATGCTATAGAGGCAAAATGATATGATTTTTAACTATTTTCATTATTCTTATCATCTCCATGACAATCAAGTTGAATGTAATAAGAAAATACAATTAAACCTGATTACATGGATAATTTTTCATAAGAAAACAAAATCTGGCTCTGAATAAATGCCTTACATATTTGAGAAAAGAAACCTTGAACATGGTATTAAACAGGATGGTATTAAATGAAAATAAGCTTCACAGCTTTAGTAATGAAGAGGATTTAGGTGATTGACCCTTGTGAGAACAAAAAGGTTATGAATTGTTTACTTTTGTACAAATTGATAATTTGTTTACAACTGGACTTTCCATAGCTCTGCCCTGTTTCTGTCTTTCCTTGTCATCTCTCTCCTAAGTACACATTGTAAATGTGTTTTCAAAGCCTAGACTTCTAATTTAAATAGAATTAGGAAAGTCTCAGGTGTTTTTGACTTAATTTAAGTGAGATTAACATACAGCCATCTCTCCTGCATGATCTGGGTCTTTCCCCTTTTTGATTTATATGGAGCTCACAAAGAAGCAAACTGGTGAAGGTGAATAAGCATCTTATTAATAAGAGACTTTGGGCCTGGTTATGCCTAGATTTAAATTCATGACATGTGTGATACAGTCTGACAGGGAGGAAGAACTAAAGAATTTGTTTTCCAGTGCAGGTCAACATGCCCTTTACTACAAAGCATATTTCTATTTACTCAGCATTCAACTAGGGAGAAACTGATCCCCTGTTTTGAAGTTAACTGCCTCTAGTTCAACTAGTAAATGGAAGTTCCAGAAAATCTCAGTAATTCATCAGCTTTGAAATGACAATATTCAATTTTGGATATGCATATACCTGAAGCCATAAAGGCAGGATTGAAGAAAAAGTGACCCACTGAGAAATGAAGAAATAAGCATTACTGAATCAAATATTCCATTGTTCCATCAAAGACTAGGAAAGACTTGTAAGGGGGAAGAAGAAAACAAGAAAGGATGGCAGGAATTATAAATCACTTCCTTAACTAGGGTCATGGAAAAGATGCATTGGGACATGGTGGCAAAATGATGCTGGAGTAGGTGAAATTTTTGCCTAATACATACTCCTAGCTTTTCAGCTAAAGACTCCAAGTCACCACACACACACACACACACACACACAAAGTGTATTTGGGGGAGGGGTGGGAGGAAGAAAACCTTGATGCTTTTACCCTGGTCATCTCATCAGCCAAATAGAGCCTGGGGAGATAAAACCTACTTTATCTGAACTTCCAGATAAATAATAATATATACCTTGAAAATGGCTGATTTGATCTTTGGGCTCGAAAAGGCTAGCACTAAGATAAGCTAATGGCCCTTGCAGAACATAAAGTACTGATCACTTTGCATTTGCTTTTCCTGGTCTGGGACAAAAAGAAATACGTTTCTTGCACTTCTCACCCTTTCTACCGGCTTTAATGCTACAAAATTCTGCCTCTCCTCCTTCACTTCCTGAACTCAGTTACCAACTTCTTTGTATCTCTGTCCCATGAATGCAAAATTGCCCTAAAAATGAGGCATAAATTGAGATGCCATGTCATTCCACTGATTCCTAGCTTTACTCAGGGTTATATATTCCAGGAAGATTTAGACAAATTTTTCAGTAATGGGACAAAGGATGAAAAAAAATGGTCAGAGACAAGGTTACTTTTATCTTGTGTTATTTCAGAGTATATTAAGGTTAGCACAGGTCAAATAATGAGTTCAGATGGGTTATTTCACCCCAGTTGACACTTTTTTTCATGCAGGTAGCTCTTAGGTTTGTTTACTGGAAACATAAAAAGTGTTTACCCTTTAGCTGTCAGAGTCCCTGGGATGCTGAAATTTCCTTTTATTAGGAAATCATTTATCCATTGACTGCTTTCTTATCTCTCTTCTCTGTGCATTTCTAGGTTGGATGATTGATGCTGACAGCAGACCTAAATTCAAAGAACTGGCTGCTGAATTTTCCAGAATGGCTCGTGACCCTCAACGATACCTAGTCATTCAGGTGAGCAGATTTAAGAGAAGACCTTTTGGTTTGAATGCCAGAATACTTTTCTTTATGCAGTTACCTCAACAACACTCAAATTAAATATGAAATATGAAGAAAAGCTCCATCATATAAACATTCCCCTCCTGCCAGGATTTCATTCAGTTTTAACTAGAGAAATAGATGCTTATAGAAAAGAACTACTATACAGAGTGATTAGCATCACTTATAAAAATGATACCTTAATTTTTAACTACTTCTGGGACTGAACAACCAGATGATTATGATTTACCATATTCACAAATATTCTTTACCTTCAGCCAAACCTTCCAAGCTATCTCCCTATCTCTAAGCCATATACTGTCTATTTTACAAACTTCAGAAGCACAGAAAAGAGAGGCTTTTTTTTCTTTTCCTTGAAGGCAGTAACTCAGAATATTCAATATATTGAAGTATGATTTTCAGAAACAAAAAGATTTTCTTAGATTTCTAGCCCCCTTTGGTTTTCATGCTTCTTTCTTATCAAGGAGATAACTCAGATAAAGTAAAATGAAATGGAATTGTATGAAAAGGTAGAAAACAGCCTCAAATATGGCTTATTTATTAAATTCCAAAATGCTGATTAGGGAATTCTAAATCAGATGAATCATATTCATCTTTTTAAGGGGATGGAGCTTCTTTTTCCTCTTTTCACAACTATTATGAACATTTTAATATGTAATATTGATGATACTTTCAACTTGAATATTAGGTCAGTTAACTTAATAAGCAAATATGGCTGTTTCTCAGTAAGGCAACATGCCTCAGTAACAACAGGTCTTGGTAAGACTATATTTGGTTATTAAGTTGCATGGGATTGACAAAATAAGGGAGGGAAAGAAAAAGAGGGTAGTCTTAGAAATGTTCAAATTTTGTTCTAAGGTAGAATAAAGACAAAAAAGTTTCAAAAACTGGGATGCCAAATCAGAAGTTGCTACTTTTAAGTGAACATTCCCTAATGCCAGTCGTGTCAGAAAATTATTTTGTGACTTATTATATATGTTATAATGTTGAGAACATTTTGTAAATTGACATCCTAGAAGGTCTTTGAAGCATTTTCCTCTCAATTCTTCCAGTCACGGAGTCTATGCCAATTCTTTCTGCAAGCCTCCCCTGGTCTTCCAACCAAAAGTGATTTTCTTTTTACATGAATGTTCATAATACTTTTTCAGGAATGTCTTAATCACATTCTATCTGTAGAAGAATTCTTTATTTTTTTCTAACTTGTCTTAACTCCTCTATTTAAGGATAGTAATGGTGTTTAATTTTAACACTCTTTGCTCTCTATCCCCCAAGAACCTTTCACAATATCTTGAACACAATAGATACTTGAGGCATCTTTATTAAGTGAGTGAAGAAATTTTCTAATGAGCTATTATTTTACTGTATAGTTGTGAGCAAAAAGTCAGATGCTCAAAATGAAAGGAAATAATTAAAATGACATTTCTTTTTTTGCCACATGGGTGATACATTTAGGGTGATGATCGTATGAAGCTTCCTAGTCCAAATGATAGCAAGTTCTTCCAGAATCTTCTGGATGAGGAGGACCTGGAAGATATGATGGATGCTGAGGAATACTTAGTGCCTCAAGCCTTCAACATCCCACCACCTATCTATACTTCCAGAGCAAGAATTGACTCTAATAGGGTAAGAAACAATGACCAAGCAACAAAAATTTCTAAATGCACATAGTCATTTTTGGAAAGTGATGTAACATGACTGAATATAGCTGTGAATTTTCATCATGTAATCCAAGAAGTTATTAAAAGAATCAGCAAGAACTACAGATCAAAAGAAAAGAGGATAAAAGGTAAGAATGTGTTATATAGCCAGGTTCATAATTCTGGAGGATATATTCTTGTTTGGACTTGGAATTTTCTTCAGGATGTCAAAAGATCACATATAAAGTATAAATTTATATGAAAGAAAAATCTTAACTCTGAGGAAATGAGAACTAAGAAAAAGCAGGCTATTTATCCAAATATTAATCAAACTATTAGAATGCTGTGTGGCTAAACATACATTGAAAAAAAATCTTCCAAGAAAAGGCTATTTAAAAAAGAGAGATTATGATCTAGGCATGGTGGCACACACCTGTAATTCCTACTGTTGGAGACACTGAGGTTGTCAGATTTCTTGAGCTGAGGGTTTCTAAGCTGTGTTGATCAGATCAGATGTTGCCACTAGGTCCTTTAGTCATATGGTGAGCCTCCAGGAGTGGGTGTAGCCTTAATCAAGTTTCATAAGGAGGGGCAAACCAGCCACAGAGAGAAAAGAAACAGGTCAAAGCTTCCACTTTAGTCACTAGTGGCATTGGGCTTGTGAAGAGCTATTGTACTTCTAGCCTAGCAAGATAGGGAGATGTGGTCTCAAAAAAGGAAGAAGAATGGAGAGAGACAGAGACAGAGACACAGAGACAGAGAGATGGACAGACACAGAGAGAGATGGACAAAGAATAGACCAAAATACAGAAAGGTTAAGGAGACACAAAAGAGACTGTCAGTTTGTTCCGAAATCCTGGGGATGCAAGAAACATGGATTAGATGGAAAGATTTCTAATCAAGGTGTAGCTTAGGAACATTTGAGAATAAGCAGTTATGTGAACTTAAATAATCACAGTTTTTCAGAACTATTGAATTCCTCCCACAGTCTGCTTTCAAGTCAGGTTAAAAATTTTAATTGTTTCTCCCCATTGACTACTTTAATACCCACTATAAGTAGCCAACATTATATTAAATGTCCCATTATCAGGTGAATCTATAGATTGAACATAAACCTAATGTTTCCTGTTTTCAGTTGACTTTTCTCTTCCCTTATTCCCCAAAGGAAAGGATATACTGCATAATATGAAATTGTGTCACAAAGGCACTGTCACATTTTATTGGGTGTAACAGTTCTGTCCCTGTGACAAACAACTTCCCTTGTTCAGAAAGCAGAGGAGGCTTTTGACTCCCTTCTCATTCTCTCAGATAAAGTACTTTGTCTTCTTTCAGAATGGCAGAAAGTGCTTGTGTGGAATCTCTCAGAGAGAAGGCACCAGTTTCTTTGCCGTTGATGATCAGAGACCTGTCTTGCAAGTTTCAAATCATCCCACCTATATTTTTTTCCCCATTGTCTCCTTTTTTTCTTCCTACCTCTGCCCTCCTACCTCCCTATCACTAAGCTATGAAATACCAGTGGTAATTGCTAGTAGTTAAAAGAATGAAATGGAAGATAGAGACCAAGTACATTTTATTTTTTTCAGACTTCCAGACTGAATTTCTTCGACTTATTAAGTCCTAAAGAGATCAGGAAACACAGCATTTTAGCAGGAACCTTGAAGGCCCATTGCTACGATTCAAATCATCTTTGCCAAAGAACTAGAGGAACCAGTCATTACTGAAAACAATAGATCCCCTTTCTGTCACATTTAAGAGAAATTCAGGGGATTAATTGGAATAACAGTAACAAAGGGAGTAACAAAGGAAGGAAAAGAATTTAGTGGGGAGGAGGAGTCAGAGGGGTCATAGCCAAGTTTCTTCTCTGTGTATTTAGGAAATAGATGTTCCCTGGCAGCTGATGGGAATCATGCCCCTGATATTTGGAACATAAGTGGCAAATTAAATATTTTTATTGAAATAATGTCATTTTGAGAAAATAGTTTTCTAGCACCAGGACACTGAGTTCTCCTTAATTTTTTTTTTAGTTTCTTAGTTGTTATTGTTAAAAACACCTCTTAAATCCTCATTTTTCATTCTGTTTAACCCACCCTTGAATATATGCTACTTATAATGAAATTTTAGCTTAACTAAGTGGAAACAATGAGTCAAAGTGGGAATCACATAGGAAGACTTATTTGGGCTATATTCATCATTCCTTATTCTGATTACTTTTTCAACTGCTGATACTTTTAGATCCTGCTTTACTACTTTCAGAGATTTTGCTTAAATGTCTACCAGTTTATACCAACTTCTACTAATTCCCTTTAGTAAACATTCCTTATTCCAGTATTTCTCAGTGCTAGAATATTTTCCTTCTGCAAAGCTAAGTTACAGTCACTAAATAATCCTGCTCCCTCTTTTACGCATTTACTATAATCTAGCTTAGGTAGTGAGAGAGAATTACATATGTATCTTTTGATGGAGTGTTCTTATATTGTGAGCCCCAAATTTTATTTCCATTTTTCTTCTGTTTCCCTTCACCTTCATCCTACCATGTATCATTGCATACTATTGTCAAATGAATGAGACATTATCACTGATAGATGTGCTTATACAATTACTACTTTTTAAGGAGGTTACTTCCATTGACTACAGATTATGCTGCACTGAGAACTATTACTGTAAGTTACATTATCTTATGTGTACTATTCCAGTATTCTCTGTAGTGCTAATAGTAATATAAATAAAAGATTCAAAGGAAAGAGCCTACAAAATTAGTGTTCACAGTTATCTAATACTGATGATAGTACTGATTTTTCAAAAAAGTAAATGATGTTTCAGGTCAATTTTTACAAAAACCTAATACATAGTTCTTAAAGTTATCTCATTTGTTTAGAATGACTTTTGTAAATTATCCTGTTTAGCAAATATATTACTTTGTATGTTGTTCTCAAAATAGGACTCCTAAAATAATTGTGAGTACCCTCTCTATAGTTCATATGTTGGTTCATTTCAAGAAAACATATTTAAGTGACAGCTTCACACTTAGATTTACAGTGTGTATGTGCATCTCTCTCTCTACGTGTGTGACGTATATGTGTGTGTATGTAGAGAAAGAAAGAGAGAGAGAGAGAGAGAGAGAGAGAGAGAGAGTGTGTTCATATTCCTTTTGCTAAATCAGTCTTGGCCTTTTCCCTTTGAGTGACCTGGATTTATGTTTGTTTTGTATAATGAATGTTAATAGTAAATGCACTCATAATGAATGAGAATATAAAATAAATTGATATGGCTTAAGGCACTTTGCTCCAATGATATTGAAATTTTAATTTAATGTTAACACTTCAATATTGTTTTATAGAGCAAGACACAATTTCAGTTGTTTCAGGATCTTTGCATCATTTGTGAAATGAGTAGTTTGAAAGAACATATGCTCCACTGCATTCAAACACTTGTCAACTAGCTCTCAATTATCTGAGCTAATGGGGGTCAGAGGGATATAGATAATGGATAGCCATGTGTTAAGGGAAGACAGATTTAAAACATATTATATATATATATATATATATTATATATATACACATATATATGCATGTGCATGTATGTATACATGTGTGTATACACGTGTATATGTGCATGTACACATACATATTGTATATGTTTGTATATATGTTTAGGTGTACATACATACATACATATTCTCAAACCTGCCCATGTCTGCATACTCAGATAGGTTAAGAAAGAGCATAGCAGATTTATTTGAGTTTTCTACCACCTCTCATATCCACATTGATTTCTCTTGATGATCCCACTAATGGAGAGGTGAATGAGTAGTGAAGTGACTAGTCAACAAGCCTTTATTAGGTGCTTATTCTGTGCCAGACTCTGTACTAATTGCTATGGATATTAAAAAAAAAAAAGACAAAAACTGTCCCTGCCTTCAAGGAGCTCATATTCTAGTGGTTGAGGCAACATGTAAATAACTATTTATACACGAGATCTATACAGCATCACTGAAAGGTAATCTTAGAGTGAAGGTACTAGCTGGGGATGAGAGGTTGGAGGGTAGCAGGGTCTCCTACAAAAAGTGAGATTTGATTGAGACTTGAAGGAAACAAGGGGATCCAGGAAGTGGAGGTGGAGAGAATTCCAAGCATGGGGGATAGGCAGTAAAAGGGCACGGAGTCAGGAGATGGTATGTCTTATCTAAGGAAAAGCAAGTAGGCCAGTTTAGCTGGATTGTGGTGTTGTTTTTGTTGTTCAGCCATTCCAGTTGTGTCTGATTCTTCTTGATCCCATTTGGGGTTTTTTTGGTAAAGCTTCTGGAGTGGTTTGCCATTTTCTTCTGCAGCTCATTTTACAGATGAGGGACCAAGGCAAACAGGGTTAAATGACTTGATTAGGGTCACACAGCTCGTAAGTGTCTGTGGCTGGATTTGAACTCGTGAAGATGAGTTTTCCTGATTCCAAGTCCAGAGCTCTATTCACTGTACCACTTAGCTAGATTATAGAGTAAATGAAAGAGAATGAAGAATAAGACTAGAAACGTGGGAAGGTTGTGAAGGCCTTTAAAGTCCAAACAAAGGACTTTCTATTTGATACTAGAGGCAACAGGGACCCACAGAAATTTACTGAGTAGTGGAGATAACATACTGAGATTTACACTTTAGCCAATCACCATGGCAGGTGAGTAGAGGATGAATTAAATGGGGCAAAGACTTGGAGAGGGAATGAGATCAAGGAGAAGTCTATCGTGTTTGGTCATGAAGTCAGGGCAGCTAGATGGTGCAGTGGATAGAGTGCCAGATCCGGAGTCAGGAAGACTCATCTTCATGAGTTCAAATCCAGCCTCAGATATTTATTAGCTCTGTGATCCTAGGCAAACTCTGTTTGTCTCATCTGTAAAACGAGCTGGAGAAGAAAATGGCAAATCACTCCAGTATCTTTGCCAAGAAAACCTCAAGTGGTATCACAAAGAGTCAGACATGACTGAAATGACTGGACAGTAAC